AGTCAAGACATTCATTTTTAAGTGAAGGAATTCACTATGTCAGTTATGTTCAAGCTGTAGGAACTATTGTAGTTTTCCTAGGAATACTATGGTATTTGGTAAGTTTTATTCTCCCTTACAATGATCATAAATATGATTTGTATGAGATCTTCAAAAAATGAAATAAGGTTTGCAACATTCTCAGCAGGAAGTTGATCTACACATAACAATTCTAAAGTAGTTTAGAACAATATCTAATTTATATTTTTCCATTAAATGTAGAGCTTCTTGGATAGTTTGGTGGTCTAAGCCCCTGCCTGCAAACACAAGGACCCACGTTAGTTCCCCAGTATGACATGGTGAGCAGGCTCTGGAAGCCCAGGCATGCTGCTCTGCTGACAAAACCAGGTGTAGTGGTGCAAGCCTGTAATTCCAATTCTGGGGAGTCTGAGCTGCATAATGAGACCTTGTACCAAATAAATACATAAATAAATAAATAAATAAATAAATAAGTAAATAAATATTTAAAAAATAAATGTAGATCTGTCATAGAATGTTCTAGAACTTACATTTTAGTTATTTGGAACATTTTCTCAGGTTATGAAAATAGGTAGGGAAGTCTGAGCTGCATAATGAGACCTTGTACCAAATAAATACATAAATAAATAAATAAATAAATAAATAGGTAAATAAATATTTAAAAAATAAATGTAGATCTGTCATAGAATGTTCTAGAACTTACATTTTAGTTATTTGGAACATTTTCTCAGGTTATGAAAATAGGTAGGGAAGTCTTTAGAATTCCACATACAAGGATATTAGTTATAAACATTCATCATTTTAAAACAAGTGTGAGATATTTTTTATCTCTTATAATTAATCTAATCTCTCAAAACAACATGATAAAGCAGACATCTGCATTTTTAGTAAAAATCTTTTGTATATAGCTACTTAATGTAGCTTTATGCAACTTCCTAATTATTTTATCATAAATAGTGCCATAATTTTAATAAATAGTTTAGCCTAGATTCTATTACTTAATCCAAATCAGGTCTCTGGTAAGTCAATTAATGACAAAAGGTAAAAATTAAGGCAAGAAGAAATGCATAGGAAAAAAGATTTCCAAAATTTGGAATACAAAGTGGAAAAACTAAAACATTCAGAGAAAATGCAAATAAAGCAAGTACAGTGAAAGAAAATGTGAGTTTCCAGATATTCCAGGTTTTAATATCACTTAAGTGCATTTAGTGCAGAAAATCTGAACTTATCCAAGATAAATTTAATCCAAAACAACGTTTAGAATCATCTATAATCCTAATACATATTCTGCTTATGTATTAATTTCATAAGACCCCATACCATAAGCAAGTAATATAATTCAGATGTTAATAATGTGTACATCATACCAAATATATTATATTTCTCCACCAAAAGGTAGATATTGCTTTTGCTTATTCTTTAGGTACCTTTGTGAATATGAGATAGAATTCCTTAAATATGCCTTAAAAGATCTTACATATACTATAAAAGTGGATAAAAATCTTATTACTTGCCACCAGTTGTTATTTGGTAGCCACCCTGTTTTACAAATCAGTGCTAAATAAAAAAAATACAGCAATCATTTTGAGTAAATAGTAATATGCATTACCATCACAGTAGCTGTAGTATTTATGAAATCAGTGTACGTATCTATCAGTGAATATGTAGAAAAAGAAAATGTACTATATTTACACAATAGAGCACTGTTGAGACATAAAAAAGAACTGGAACTGATTATTTTCAGAAAAATGGTTGAAGATGAGACAATTAAGTTAAATGAATCTAACCAATTGCAGAAAGACACTGGTCTCATGTTTTCTCTTACATGTAGAGCATACAAAAAAGTAGTATCATCAAAATAGAAGGATGACTTAGGGAATGACAAGTGTTCCAGGAAGAGGAGAGAAAAAGCACAGAAGACCAGTGAGACTTGATATTATGAAAGCATAGTACATGCGTGTATGAAAATGCCATATTAAAATCTATTACTAATATATTTAACATGCACCAATAACTTCAATAAAAGTAATAACTTTCATTATTTAAACAGCTATTTTTTCTGTTTTAGAATAATTTTCTTTTACTTTGAAGAGTAAACACTACAGGAGAAAAAAAGAAAAGGAAAAATAGAAACAGGGTAACATACAATACACATGTTACAGATTTTCAAAACAAGAATATCTCACCAAAAGTGATTGTTATATTGTCTATTTTCATCACCAAATCTATTGCTTAGATTAACAGATATAGTTACACAATATGGTACATATGACTGAATATTACCACATGCCTCCAAGAAATCTTACATTTCTGTTCCTTTCTCTCATTTTCTCTTATTACCTTTTAAAAAATTAATTTAAAGAGAATACAGTAACAATTGATATAACAGACACAGTACACATTTAGAAGATCAAAATGACAGGTATTTCAAGAATGATTTTAGTATTACACATTGCTATCCTCAATGCAGATGTTTATTCACAGATATCAACATATAAAATTTGACATGATGAAAATTCTGTCATTTACTACTATTACCTCCTGCCTTGTTTTTATTGCCCAGGTTCACCTTTGCTATTCTAGGTATTTTCTGATTTCAAATAAATTTTAGAAATGATTTCTCTAGCTCTTTGAGGTATGTTGGTGGTAGTTTGATAGGGATTCCATTAAATCTGTACAGCAATTTTGGGAGTATGGCCATCTTCACAATGTTGGTTCTTCATTTTTCTTGCCTCTTTTTAATGAGACTAGCTAAGGGACTATCAATTTATTTAATCTTTCAAACAGCTAGTTTTGATTCATTAATTATTTATATTGTTTTTTTCATCTTAATTGTATTAATTTCTGCTGTAATCTTTACAATTTCCTACCTTCTTTGGGCTATGTGTTTGGTTTGCTCTTTTACTAGACATTTGAGGTGCAGCATTGAATATTTTTTCCTGTTCTCCTTTCCTCCCATCCAAATACTAAGTGCTAACCAGGCCCGACCCTTCTTAGCTTCTGAGATCAGACAAAATCGGGTGCCTTCAGGGTGGTATGGCCGTAGACCTGTTCTCCTTTCCTAGTGTGTGAGTTCATAAATATAAATTTCCCTCTAAGAACTGTTTTCATTGCTTCCCATAAAGTCAGATAAGTTGTGATTGAATTTTTGTTAAACTGTAAATATTGGGTTTTTTTTGTTAATTTAATCTCTAACCTACTTTGCTAAGGAGGGTATTATTAATTTCCATGTATTTATGTGGGTTTTGTGATTTATTTTGTCTTTTATTTCTAGTTTAATTGCACTATGATCAGATTATGGGCAGAGGATAATTTCTGTGTTCATAAATATACTTAAACATGACCTATGGACTAGTTATGTGCTCTATTGTAGAAAATGTCCCATGTACGGCTGAAAAAAAATCTATTCTCATGTTGTTTCTTGGAATACTGTATATGCCCATGAAGTCCATTTTTCCAAGATGTGATTCAGTTGTGCTATTTCTTTGCTATTTTTTTTCTGCTTGACCTATATTTTAGGATACAAAAAGTTCTCCTGTTAATATTGTGGTATTAGATATTAGATTTTTAATGTCCAGTAAGATTTATGTTATATAATTGGGTGCCTACATGTGTGGTGAGTACATATGTATGACTGTTACCTCTTCCTCTTGTTTTTTCCCTAACCAATGTGTAGTGACCTTCTTTATTTCATTTGATCATTCTTGGTTTGAACTTTAGACTGTCTGCAAACAGGATTGCTACCCCTGCTTTTTTCTGAGGTCTTGTGGCATGTTGTATTGTTTTCCATCCTTTGACTTTCATCCTATGTATTTCTTTTATTAGTTAAGTGTGTTTCTTGTATACAGCATATTGTTGGATTTTGCATCTTAATTCCCTGTGCCAGTCTATTTCATTTAATTGTTGAATTGAATCCATTTACTTTGATGGCTATAATTGTGACATATTGCCTTATGATTAGAAGATATTTATATGCTGCTGTGTACCTCTTTTTCTCCTTTGTTTAATTGTTTGCACTATTTGGTGGGTTCTTTCCATTGTTATTCATGGAGTTTTGGTCATTTCAGTCCCTCTATAGGGAGTTTTGCTACAGGGTTCCACACCAGACCTGTCTGCTGGAAGATATTCTAGCATGTGGTGGGTGGTCTCACATACAGCAGAGCCTGGGGTCTGGCTAGAATGAGGATTTTTTGAGCAGGGGTGTTGGTGGTTCCTCTTCCACACGCACACGCTGGCCCTCAGCTCTGTCTGGAAGTAGAATCCCCATTTTTTCTTTTAAGCATATATTTATCTGTACTTATATCTAGATCTAATCTATCTATAACTCTATCTGTATCTCTATCTGTATCTCTATATTTATATATAACTTGGATGACTGTACTGCTGATTTCTGTTGGTCTATTGAAAGGTGCAATTAGTGCTCAGAAATTTTTTTTTTTAATTTTTTGACCAAATCTTCATACTTACATCTGGTAATCTGAACAATGATTCAAGCATTGCTGAATTGCCATCATTTTGTTTAGTGAAATTCTGAATTGTTTCTAATTATTTTCACTATTTTTGTTCTCTGGAAAAGATGAGCATGTATACATAAGCAACAGCACACTTCCAAATAAAACAAAAGTTCATCAGCACATTAAATACAAATAATTAAACTTTAAAATATATGTAAATTCTTAATAGATTCAAAGTTGTTTTTATTGTTTCAAGTTTGTATCAATACCAGTAGGAGTGTAAGATAACCAAAGAAGGTATTAAATGTATGGTTAATACTATCAATTTGAATTATTTATTTTGACTATTCCATTTTTGTCCAGAAGTGATAAAGGTATTAGCCTATGCCTTAGCATTCATATTATAGTCCATCTGGTTAATTACTTATTGTAAAGTGCAATCATTAATACTACACAACAAATACAAAGTGCATAAAGTTAACATTTTAATATATGTGATTTTACCATTGTTTAATATCATTTTGACAGGTACCACTACAATTGAAAAATATGACCTTAGGACCAATAGTTGGCTTCACATAGGCACAATGAATGGCCGTAGGCTTCAATTTGGAGTTGCAGTTATCGATAATAAGCTTTACATTGTGGGAGGAAGAGATGGTCTGAAAACTTTGAATACTGTGGAATGTTTTAATCCAGTAGACAAAATCTGGATGTTGATGCCTCCCATGTCAACACATAGGCATGGCTTAGGTAAGAGCTTAATGCTATATTGTTTCTTAAGGACTTATGATAAAGTTTTTAAAATTAACTAAGGTATACTTTGTTGAGATGTAGTAAAAATACTAGTAAAATAATTTCCAAAGTCCTAGAGAGCTTAAGCAAATGGTTATATCATCTGAAATTTTAATTGTAAGAGGTACCATACTTGCTAGTCTTGTCTCCTTTCCACCAGTTTTCAAGGGGTTCTAATTTAAGAAATATAGCAACTTTGAAAAAGGTTACATTATTGAGGAACCTAAAAATGCAACAAGAAACATTCTCCTCAACTCAATTTAGAGGATGATTGAGACATATTGTGTTTATATATAGATAGATTATATATCTTCCAACAAAAGATAAATCCACATGTAATCAACAGGGAAAAAATATTTTACTTTCTTTTTTTTTGGAAAAAAATTCATCCTGTTGAATATTTGTCTTCAGGAGAAAGTGTCTCTTGACTCTGCATGACAGACTCCATATATATAATTTATTTATTTTTTTGAAAGAGAATTACACCTTTATTCCTTGTTTTACCAGTCAGGCAGACTGAATAGTTTGCTTTTTGATGATTAGTCAAAAAGACCAAATTCTGTTTCCTCATCTGACTCCTCCAACTCTTCCTTGGTTTCCACCTTTGCTGGGGCAGCTGCAGCACAGGAGCAGCAACAGTGGCTGCGTCGACAGGAGCAGCAGACACAAATGCAGATGGATCGGCTAAGAAGGCCTTGACCTTTTCAGCAAGTGGGAAGGTGTAATCAGTCTCCGCAGACAAAGCCAGGACCCACTTGTACCCACTGATGATAGAATGGGGCACTGATGCAACACTTGGGCAACCAGTCTGTAGACAGACACTGGCAACATTGAGAACACCCTCTAGAAAATGAGAATGCAGGGCTGGAGAGATGGCTCAGTGGTCTAAAGCACCTACTTGAAACAAGCTTGGCAAATCAATCCCCCAGCACCACATGCCAGCCAGCCCCGCCCCCTGGTGGGCTGAGCTGGCCACACACACACACAATAAATAAATGTAATAAATAAAAATAAATAAATAATTTAAAAAAAAAGAAAAGAAAATGAGAATGCAGAGTTTGCTCTGTAATGTCAAGGACTTCTGGGTTGTAGATGCTTCCATTGTCAAACTCTTGCCTAATGATCAGCCCAGAGGAGAATGGGGAGATGTTGAACATGTAGAGGAAGGTTGCCTCACTGACTCCCACTTTGTCCCCAGTCTTAATCAGCTGTACATCACTAGGATTTCAATGGTGCCCCTCGAGATTTGAGTATTGATGCCAAGAGCCTGGAAGAAAGAGGTCTTCTCAGGCCCCAGACCAGTGTTCTGGGCAGGCACGGTGACTTCACATGGTGCAGTGGCCCCTGAATGGGCAGCAGCAGACACCTTATTGGCCAGCAGCATATCTCTGTTCTCAGTGAGGTCCTCCTTGGTAAACACGAAGCCCACATTCCCCCGGATATGAGGCAACAGTTTCTCCAGAGCTGGGTTGTTTTCCAGATGTCCTCGGATGGCCTTGTGCCTCATGGTATTCTTCACCATGGCCTTCCCATGGAGGGACATTCGGATATGCTGCATCTGCTTGGAGCCCATATTATCTGCTCCCACAATGAAGCATTTTGGATAATCATACAAAAGTTGGATGATCTTTAGGAAGTAATAGGATTTCCAGTTAGACGTGTCTTCCCTGGGCATCACGGTGGTGCATCAGGGATTGCCACGAAGGGTTTAAAGATGATGTAACTCTCATGAGGATGCCTGGAAAGAGGACCATATGTTTTTGATATCACAGTGTTTTTTGAAAGCCAGAATAATTGACCTCAAAAAATCGAGTTTGAAATAGATAAAAAGTGCCAGATGCAGGACTGATGTTTTTCTTACCCCCAATTATCCTGATACACTATAATGTTTCTGCCAAATAATTTATGAAGTAAACATTCATCTCAGTTATGTCCCTTTAATTGTCACATGTTGCTAAGAAGTCGTGCCTGGTAAAGCCCTTGTTAATTTAATATATGCTACTAAAGAGATAATGCAAAGGAGGAACCTATACCACTGAGATGCTCATTGGGGTAGTAAGGTATATGATGAATGTTAATTCACAGAAACCATAAGAAACAGAAAGTAGCTGTTTATCCTACCAAACAGAACAAATCTCTAACACCTCAAAAAGTCATCTCTATCCTTGAAAAATGGGGAGAGAGATTTCTGACAAATGAAAAAGTAAAGAGGGAAAGGATTTAGGGAAAAATGGGAGAGAGATACAAAAAGAAATTAGATCTGTCATGCATATGTACCAAATACCTATTATAAATGTATTCATCATGTATGGCAAACATGCACTAATTTTCAAAATGTTATGTGTACTCATTTATCACATGCATATTTTTTGTTATCCCTATACTTGAAAACCAGTGTTGTGCAACTGCTTAGGCAGATGCAGGGGCCAGGATTTGGATCCTCTGGCCTTCAGTGCCAGCCCCACTACTGGGACACCTTGAGACAGTAATTGAGACTGGGTGTGGTGGCACAAGCCTCTAATCCTAACAATTGTGAGGCTGTAAACAGGAGGATCACTACTAGTCCAATCTACACAGTGAGACGGTGTAAACCCTGCACACTCTGTCCTAAATACAAAAAAAAAAAGAAAAAAGAAAAGAAATAAAGAAAGAAAACCAGAGTTGCAAAAATGTGCCCCTTGAGCATACTTTGCCAGATTTAGATAGGATTGAACATTGCATCTTATGTACTGTGAATCAAAAGAAAGTATCAAATTATGCCAGAAAAAAACAGCTTCCAATTGTCATTATAAATTCAGAAAAGTGCTGCATTTCACTTTTTCTGACTGAATTATTGCAACACTGATTCCACTCAGTGATAGAATTAAATGTGACTTACAAGTCTGTCAGGGATATATGAACATACTTAGTCCTTGTATCAGATATATTTATTCACACATACACAAATTAATTAATAAAAATGGTAATTTTTGAATTGTCTGCCATTGCAAAACAAATTAATGTATACTGTGTATGACACACCATGGTGATTCTTCACATAATTTTTTTTCTTTAGGTGTAGTCACCCTAGAAGGACCAATGTATGCTATAGGTGGTCATGATGGTTGGAGCTATCTAAACACTGTGGAAAGATGGGACCCTGAGGGTCGCCAATGGAACTATGTGGCCAGTATGTCAATTCCTAGAAGTACACTTGGCGTTGTTGCATTAAACAACAAGTAAGTTCAAGTGCATGTGCATTCCTCTGAGTCACATGTCAGAGAAGTTCCATACATAATTCATTAAATAATTATTACAAATAAACAAGACATCTTTGTTTTGTTATGAAAGCCCTTTGCTGGAATTCATTATTCATCATGATGAAAAATAGGTGTCTAAAATAAACATGTGAATAAATGTTCTTTAGACCCTTGCTTTGCAAAGTGTCCTATAACATCAGCATTTCTTAAAATGCTTTAGATATGATAAAATCTAGATTAACCACAAATCTTCATAACTAGATTCTTCATTTTAAAAATATCATCAAGAGTTATGTGCCCAAAATTTGGGATGATTCTTGCAGGCAATGGGATTCTCAAGTTAACCTCAAGTAACCTCAAGTTAACTACAAATTAACTCAACTTAAACTTAATAACACTTTTGTATATGATTTATTCACTATATTTCAAAACTTTTTTCTGTCAATGTTTGTGAAAAGTGGGCTATTTTTTCATTAATCTCTTTACTTAGTGTCCAAAAATTACAACTTTAAAATCTGTTAATGCCCTTTCTCAATATTTACTTGTGTTTGTCAGTTCCTTTTGTGATTATGGTGACATACTAAACTTGATGGTGTTGTAGGTTTAATTATTACTGGGTAGTTATTTACTTGTTTTTTTTCTTTTTACATTGCATGTTTGAAAGACATGAACATCATAGAGAATGACCTTGCATGATAGGAATTTGAGGTGACAGAATGGATTAGTATGAGGACTAAGCCTTTTGTATGTATTGAA